CTTTTCAAAGCACAAAGCCACACACTGGGTTATCTGTGCTCTGCCCACCATGGGTATCGAAACCCGGTTTCTAGCGTTACAAGTCCGCAGACATGCCACTGGGGGGGGGGCATTTTCAAAGCAACAACGAGTGTGTCCCAACTATAAAAACTGCATTTTTGGAACTTTAGTGTTAACAGTCAGTATCATATTATTTAGTTCATTATATAAAAGCTTAATATCTAGGAAAACTCCCCACTTTTGTCGAAACATTGCACTACGGTGTAGTTTTCGAAGCTTAGCGCTACGAAACGACGTATTTAGCCAACCTTAGCGCTATGACGTATCTATCAAAGCATAGCTCTACGACGTATTTATCGAAGCTTAGCACTGCAGTTTCGAGTTACTTCAACTTACAGACATTAAGATCCAATGAACTTATTAGACATTCATATATTTTGAGTAGAAGATAGATTGTTTGTTTTTTATTCAGCACAGAGCTATACAATGGGCCATCTGTGCTCTGCTCACCACACCAATTTAGCGTCGTAAGCTTGCAGATTTATCACTAAGCTTCTGGGGAGCGATTAACTATAATTCATGAAAGAGAAAACAACATCAATAGGATATAACACTGTAATTCTTAGGATTATCTCACAGGCAGCTGAACAGGGGGACTATATCCCCCCTCAACTTTAGTGTAAAAAAAATACACATAGGCTTATATTAACAGCTAGAATGAAGGATTTTACTGGGAACGTAACAATGGGTGAAAATGTAATTTACCATAAGATACTATATCTTATGACGTCAATATTCAATTGGATTTACACATGTATGTATAGCAACCGAGATATCTTCAAAAATGTATACCTGTGCGCACATGAATTCAGACACCATCTCTTCTAATGTGTACCTATGAAAAACAAAACAAAAAAAGTTATTGTGTGTGCTGTGTGGAATACTGCTTCCAGGGGAAGCCTAGTTCTTAAGACAAAATGTGATCGCTTACAAAATATATAGTTACGTATCTGCTTGTTTGATAATTCCCCGTAAAATTTCTTTCCAATGAAACTTCAGTGATACAAGTCCTTTCTTAATTAAAACTAGTTTATTCTTTCTCGTTACAAACTATGTAATACACTTAATTTTCACAGTCACTTTAACTTAGCTATAATTCACAGTGATTTACACACTTTACTCACGGCTTGACTCGATTATCTGTCTCTATCTCCATCTATCTGCAATTCATATCTCCGCTTTATTTGCCGGGCTTATATACTAAAATAAAGGGCGCCTAGAAAAGACTAGAGTTGCCTGGAAACGTCATGATCCTTCTAGAAACTCATGACGTGTTACCAGGGTCACGTGACTTCCGCTATCGTAACAATATATATATATAAAGATATGTAGGTCATCGGTTATATGTACGTGCAGTATCATACATCACAGCCCGGTTTCACATTCGCCCTGCCGCTGATGTATCTGTAACCCGCAAGACACGTGCAAGAGAAGAGTTTGGTTAATATACATTTGTTGGCTGGCCGCCTTTTCTTTTTCTTGTTTTTAGGAAGCCCATCTATAGTATCGGGTTGAAAACTTTTCGTCGCGACAACAGCCTATAATAGTCGTGGTATAAAGACCCCCCCACTAGATCCCGGATGTCCTGTAGCAACATTCGTTTTGATGGGTGGTGTGTAATGGGTTCACCAGTGTTAGCAGGAAGATTACT